AGAAAATTCAACGATACTTTTTTTTGATAATCATACCATTATTTTTGGTTTTTAAAAAAAATTTTTTTTTTACTTTTTTTTTCTTTTTAAAAAATTTTTTCTTTTTTTAAAGAAAGAGAACCATGATATGAATCACTTTTTACGTTTTAATTTAATTCATTTCAATGATCAAATGTATTGATTAAATTGATAAAATTATACATTCATTCATGAAAATGTTTTGTAAAAAAAAAAAAAAAAAAAATTTTTACCGGATTATTCACCTCAAGAAGTAATTTTTCCTGTCGTTTTCGTCTTAACATTTCCGGATTATTTTCCCGTTTTGCTTTCAATTTTTTCAATTGAAACTTTAACCAATCATCAGCATTTTCAGCATCTGTTAATGAATCATAACGATTGTGAGCAAATAATCGATTCCCGTAAGATTCGCTAAAAATAATAATCATTGTAATGAATGAATTCTAATTATTAGAAAGAATTTGATGACAAAAAGATGAAAAAAAAAATTTTATGGACAATTTGGGTGACAAAAAAAAAAAAATATTATAGACAATTTGGGTGATGAAAAAAAAAAAGTGTTATGTGGACAGTATGATTATCAAAAAAATTACATGGAAAATCTGGGTGACAAAAAATAAAAATGTACTAAAAATAAAATTTAAAATATCATTAAAATTCATTAAAAAAAACTAATTAAGGATTTTTTTTTTAAATAGTAAATTAGAAATTATAGTTAGATATGAAATTATAAAATACGTTAAGATTTTTATTTTTTGTTTTTTGTTCTTTTTTTTTCTTTTTCAAAATTTTTTCCAATTAATCAAATGATAATCGAAAATTTTCTTTATTTTTATTTTATATTTTTTTACAAATTTTTATGCAAAAAAAAAAAAAAAAATTCGTTTAATTATGTGAGGATTATTTACCGATAAAACGGAGCGGAAGTGGCAGAACGACAATTACGCATTCGAAATGCTTCCCGATCCTGGTTAATATTGTCAAGTGAATTTGTTGGCTTCGTTGATGAGAAATAATCATCGTAAGTTGATTGATTTCTAGAAAAAAAAAAAAAAAAACTTTTTTTTTTACTAAAATTTGAATTTTTCATTACATATAGCACAAGTAGAAGTGCGACAAATTTGACTTACATTTAGCCTATTGAATTGATTTTTAAATTGAATTTAAATTTTAAGTCAAAAATGCAAAAAAGGAAATAAAATAATTTCGGCCATGAAAAACTTTCAATTTTCATTATAATATAGCACAAATGAAAATAATGCAAATTTAGCATTTAGTAATTTTTAAATTGAAATCTGAAATTCAAATTAGAAAAAAAAACGAATTGAAAAACAGAACGATTATTTGAAGTAAGTAATTCTTAAAAGTTTGAAATTTAAATTTAAAAAAGAAGAATGAAAATACGAAAGATTATCTGAAATAATAATTGCGAAACTAAAATTCGAAATTTAAATTGAAAAAGCAAAAACGAAATGAAAATGAGAAGAATTAGTCTGGAATAGTAATTTTTAAATTAAATTTGAAATTTGAAATTTAAGAAATATGAAAGAAAGAAGAATTATTGCAAATAGTGTCACATTTAATAAATGAAATAATGTCACAAACTTGTCACAATCATCAAAGATTGTAGCAATGGATTTGTTTATTCATATTTTATTTATTTTTCTTTTTTCTTTTAATTAAACTTATTCAATTCATTTAATAATGGGAAGAAGGTTTTTCATTTCGTCTTCTTATTTGTTTATTCAGGGTAAACTTTCACTTCTAACCTTTCGTTTTATCGGTAAATGACTTTTTTTTTCCAAGTAATTGATTTTTTTTTTGCACCAATTCGTAAAATAAATTATTTGAAATAAAAAAATTTTTGAAAAAAAATTTTTTGGAATAAAAAAATTTGAAATTTTTATATTAATTTTCAAGTATAATTTAAATTCACAATCATTATTTGCTCTCGTTTTTTTTTCGCATATGATAACTTAAATATTTGTGATTTAAATTATTCGAAATTATTATAAAATTCCTAATCTTAATCATTGTAGCTTAAATTCGCAGCAATTTCCATAAATCACTCCATAAATAAACCAAGTTTAATCTAATTACAATAATGCTGTAATTAAAACAAATATTTAATCGAATAATTAATTATAACTTAAATTCATTATCAA